AGATAATTATGTTTATTGTGGGGGGGGGGGGGCGTTCTCAGTATTGCATACCTGAGCGGTTAGGCCATTCGTAACGCGTCCTCGAGAAAGGAGCACTGTTCCCACAGGACAGGGAGGGCGGGGTTATGGCGAATTTTAGACAACCGGCTGCGATGGTCGACGAACTCAAGATTTACAGTTGTGTAAATGTCGTGGTTCGAGATAATGGCTGCTGCACAATTGTTTTCGGAGGTGCCAAGACATATATTCGCGTAAGGGTCGTCATCGCATTCGACGTTGACGTGGTCTGCCGTGGTTGCTTTTCAATCACAACGTTGCAAATCCTAGTTCGATCATGCACAGTAGTCTATCGCTTTGGCCGAGAACATACAAATTTCACACAAGTATCTACGAAAATATAGGTATGCCCTTCATGGTACCATCTGTGTAACTGTGTAGGACGTGTAGGGCATGTACCGCGTGGTATGGATATATTTTAGGATATGCATCTCTTGTTTGGTGACACATGGGATCCCGTACCTTTGGCTCCCCTCCCGGCTGCCTCACTCTCTGTGTGTTTCTGACAGATAATACTGGAACTTCGTGTGTGTTCACGCATGCCTACCATCAGCCCCCCAGTCCATAAGAATCTTGATGGATATGGATCTAATTGAACGCACCGAATGCCCATCGCGCGCGTGCCGTACCTCTTGCCCGCTAGCCCCGGCCCCGCTCTCGCTACAGATCGCCACGAAGACAGCATCCTGTACAGCAACCGGCAGATGTCAGGAGGAGAAGGAGGAGGAAGGGCGGCAGCATAGCAGCATAAGAGCGACAGCGGGATCGATATGAATGAAAGATGGCAAACGCAACGCATCGGAACACGCGGTGAAGGACAAGCAGTGTTCAACTTGTATGTTACCGACTAAAGGTGTACACCAAAAAGGCACGTCGCCCATCACTTCAAGCGTAACAGCCGCGCGAGCAAACAAGTCTGGCGACATGCAAGCACCATCAAAGCTAGATTCACAAACCTGGCTATCGTTGGCAACCAGGTCTGAGAGCACGTCATCAGGGTCTACTTCGCACAACCCGTCTTGCACCCGCAGTTGAATTTCTGTGTAGCGATTCGCGACAGAGACGGGAAGGAAAGAGAGAGATGGGGGTTGATTAAGAGGGGGAGAGAGGGAGGGGAGGGGGGGGGGGTGCCGAAGGGAGGACAACATAATGAAACACAGTACAAAACGTGGTACGTGTTATGCTTCAGGAGGAACGGTTCCACGTTCGGACAAATAAAACGAAGAAACGATCATGTGATCTTCCTCATGTGTTAAACCCCGGGTGATGCATCAAACAGTTACACCGAGAGTTGTGTAAAGGGGCACTAGAAATGGGGGGATATACAAAACTTGAAAACAACACCGTCAGTGTGGCAACGGTCATCACTTCTTTTCGGCCGTGCCTTTCGTTGAACACCCCATGTTGGAGACAAGCGCGAGCAACGACAGCTTCAAAATCTCTCTCGCTACAACCCCTGTTGCCCCCATTCCACAGAGGGATACCCTCTCTCTCGTTTCCCTCAAATATCGTCGAAACGAACCGATGGAGGCAGGAGGGAGCCCCGTGTCCTCGACGCTGGGGGAGGGGGAATACTCGTGTTTACGAACGCCCGCGTTGTTACCGTAGGTGACATGACGTAAGATACCATACCCCCTGGACCGATTTTCAAAGCTCGATTTGTCTTCTCCACGATGAGGAGGATGCCATAATCCAACACTTCCAAGAAGTACGTTTTCGGAAAGCTCTCGACAAGACGGCTCCAACGCCGACACTCGTTCTGCCGCAGACAAAATCGAGCATTTAAAAATCGGTCCACCAGGGGGTGTGGTATCTTACGTCACCTACCGGATGTGCCGCAGCCGTTACATACCTCCGATCTGGATGCTTGCCTCCCCCGTAGTCTTGCGACGCTTGTGCTCTCGGTCTTCCACGGCCCTGTTTTCGATTTCGAACACACATGTACCACCAGCGTAGAAGCGCGTAGGAAAAAAGAAGGGGAGAGGGGGGGGGGGGCACGGATAGCACCAACGGCATCGGCATTGGTCAGCGAGTTGTTGTTGTGTTTGTGTTGTCTACACAATACAAAATTGCAGCCTCTGCTCAGCACCCTTCGAAGGGCTAAGGCGTCGACAGCAGCAGCAGCAACAGCAGCAACAGCAGCAGTGAAAAATCGCATCAGCGATTGCAGCCAAGTAGCAACCGATACACAGCAGCAGCAGCAGCAGCAGCAGCAGCGACTGCAGCCTAGACAGCGAGACAAAACGAATGCGTCTGGCTGCAGATGCGAAACATGCGAGAGGAGACGTTCCATGCGTGCGCCTCCGCTTGTTCAACGAGTTAAGTAGATGCGGGGTGCTGTACCCGCTATTAGTGCACATGACAAGACAGCACCGAGGGTGATAAGGAGTGTCTTGCGTGTATTTCTGGACGTGTGTTGTTACACCGTTGGGTGTGTTTGGACTCAGACCAGCTAGGCTTGCACATGAAGAAGGCCACACACTGAGCTTTTCGGTTCTTTTCAGAAACACACATAGCAATGCCAGCCGGGGAAACAACCACCCAAAGGCTAATGCTGTACGGTGATAAGTTTGTTTGAAAGGGACAAGCACCAAGACTACCCGTCACAGATGTAGCAGTATAACACAGCAGTCGAAGGGGATGGGTGTTTGCTGCTGTAACCTTTGGAGGTCCGTTTGGTCCCTGCTGAGAGATGGGAAACGGGTCACGGGACCACACTCACAGCGCATCAAACAGCCGGCCTCAAGGGGCTGAGTGCCAGGGGAGAGAAAGAGAGGTGGGCAGAGAGAGAGAGAGAGAGAGAGAGAGAGAGAGCCGGAATCGACCAGAGAACGAATGCTGTGCTCTACTGCCTGCACCGCCCGCTGCACGAGCAACCAAGCACAGGGAACAAGGAGCGAGAAAGATATCTACTACTGCTGTCCGAAGAAAATACTGAAGCGTTAGCTGGAAGAGACATACGGATTCCTACATTCGCGCGGAACGACGCTCGGAGCTTGCCTACAACAGAGTATAACAGAGGGGACCGAAACAGAACAGTATTCTTTGTTCTTTGCCCGCCCGCAACGGTCTTCTTTGATCATTTGCTCGTGGGAGCACCCATCGGCGTGGCATCCCATCAACGCCAATTTACAGCAATACGGTAGAGAAAACGCTCGCGGGACGGACGAGGGTGCAGGACGCTAAGCCCTCGTAGTGTAGCGTGCCTGACTATTTATACTGCTGTATATACCACGCGACCAAAAACGTGTGGAAAAAGCAGATCAAAACGCTGCTGCTGCTGCTGCTGCTGCTGCTGCTGCTGGTATAGTACGCCCATGCGGTCAAATAGCAAACTCCTCATTACGCGCAAGAGTACAGATTTGAATTTTATATTTTTGGTCCGTTGGATAGTATTCTCT